CTATTTCTATAAAAGCAAAGTCATGACTCAAAAAGAAAATACTGCTAGTGAGAAGCTATCAGGGACTAAACCTTGTCTTAGAAAATGACTCTCCAGGAATCCCCAGTATGTCTGGGTCTTCATCATTCTCGGTGGAATAACCACTTCTCATTCTCCACTGAGTGAAGCCAACAGCACTGTTTTCCACCGATGTTTTATAAAATGGTTTCATTTGTTTCTTTTATTGTTTTTGTATTCTGAGAGGCATAGACTGATTTTTCCTCTCCTGTTCTGCCTTTTTCATTCTATGATACCAAAATCTGGCCTGTACACTAAATTCCCACCTTTGAGGTCTTCCTCTGTGCCTGACTGCCTTTCCTTGTCTGCGTGGAGGAGGAAACAGGGAAAGAAGGCACCCTCCCAGGGCTGGAGCAGCTGGATCAGCTGGAGCTGCTAGAGGATAGCACAGGGACACTGCCTCAATTCACATCATCTCCAGGTGGGGGTCACTAACCCCATGCAGCAGGGATTTTCAGAGAGGAAGACTTAAAAAACTAGCGGATGTGTACCTGTGATGTCCGACTTGACAATGCCACAGCTTTCCTAGAGAACCCAGTGTGGCAGGCAGTCAGATTCTATTTAGGGTTAGTTAAGTTTACAACTTCCTGGATGGTACAGTTCCTATACATATATCAAGTACCTAACATATTAAAAATTGTACTCTACAGAGGGTGCTGGGAAACCAAGCAACCAGCTCGCCTCCCTGCTAGGTGGTAGTGAGTCTACGGGTGCATGGGCTAAGAATCAAACACCCCCCCCCCCAATTAGCAAATGGGAGCCGGCGGTCTGAGCATCTCTTGGGAGGTTGACCATAACAAATAAGGGGGATTTCCGTCTACCATCTCTTTGAAGGCAAATATTTTTACCACTGTTTTGCTTTATTCTGATTAATGGTACTGCTCTATTCAATATCCTATTTTGATAAGTTTTATAATGTTCTGTGTTTCATTTTATTTTGCTATACCTGGTTATAAGAGCAACTATTGTGAAGATAATGAAATATACTGTGGTACCTATTACTGTTACCCTGATAAACTGTGATGAAGTTCTGTACCAATTTCACTACACTGTCTAAAGTGGCAAAAAAAAAAAAAAAAAAAAAAAAAAAAGAAAGAAAGGAAAAGAAAAGAAATGAAGAGAGACAATAACAACAATCAACAAGAGATAATGTAGTAATTAACGTTGTAAAAGTGGTTTTGAAGGAAATAAACAGAATCATGGTAAAAAGTTACACTGTACATTTGCCCAATTTTCTTGTGTGTACATAATTTTTCTAATATTTAACGTGTATTGACAAGTATCAACTGATCAAAGTTGTAGAGAGTTCCCAATCTTGGATCTTTTGATAACCCTTGTATAGGCTGAAGCTTTCCTGTCCATCCCATGTTCTGCCAAAGGAGAGATTTCAGGGATGGGACAGTTGGGAAAAGCCAGAGGCAATTAACAGCTTCTGCCTCAGTGAGGGGGTGCTGCCAGTGTTTCACACCATTCAGTGACAACATATTGGTGTGGATGCTGCAGGTGGGCAAGGGTTACTCCAGAAGTTAACTGGAGGTCATCTGGAGCAACAGGCCTGAGAGGATCGTCATTCCCAACGCAGGCTTCCTGTCGCAGGAGACATTCCCCCTGCCTCCCTCTCTCTGGGTCCCCGCTCCCTGTCTTCCTCCTCTTTTTTCTCCCCCTCCCTTCCCTCCCTCTCCCCGTCCCCTTCCTCCTTATTCCCTCTCCCTCTCCTCCCACCTTCCTCTCTCCTGGGCATTGAACCTTACATCCCCAGGCTTTTTTTTTTTAGGCAGGATATCACTATGTGGCCCAGGTTGGGCGCAAACTTGTGATCCTCCTGCCTTGGCTTCCCAGAGCGCTAAGAAAACATCGCTAGTGTCAGATCTCTTTCCAAATAGATGACAAATTTTGATACATATAAAAATGTGTCAACGTCTGGACCTGGTGGTAAAAAGATCGGTGCTCAGCTCATGTGCCTGAAGCCAAGCGCTGGCGCTGGATCCTTAACATGTAGATGATGCTGCACACAGGTTTCCTGGAGTCCCACCCTGACTCTCCAAACCTTAGGAAGGGAGCTTTACATTTTTTATAAGAGTGGTGAGAGGATCCCTTCATGCCCTGGATGCAGGGCATACTCTTGCCTTTCTAGCCTTCATTTTCCATGTCTGAATGGAAAAAATCCCAGAAACCTAGTCGCCTGTATTGCCAATATTTTCTTACAAAGTAGACATTTGACAGTGAAAGCAAAGAAATACGAGATATGAAAACTTGAAAATTGGTGAATATAAGTATAAAATTAGAATCAGTCCTATGAAAGAGAAGACTATCTTTTGTCACTATTACAGTCGACATTGAACTAAGAAGTCTACTCAATGAAGTCAAAAAATATAAATAAAAATCCTAAAGATTGGAACGAAAGAGGCAAAATTATCATGCTTATAGATTAGGAGACTGTCTACCTAAAAAATGAGAGATAGTCAACTACTGGGATTAGAGTTTAGCAAGTAATCGTTCTGAAATGTGAGCAGGAAACCAAATTAACACATAATTCACTTATTTAAAAATATTTGTGGAGAAGATTTATCTAGAAAGGAAGCATTTCATGTTAGCTGTTCTCTTTATGCTCAAAAATCACTAAAAATGATCCTGACCTGGCCTGGGGATGTAGCTCCGTGGCAATGAGTGCCTGCCTGGCAAGTATAGGGTTCTGAGTTCAATTCCCAGTACTCCCCTCCCAAATTATACTGATTTATAATGTTCTTTAAGCAGCTAACATTCTTTGTGTTATTTTCCCATAGGCTTTAATTTTCCAAAAATATCCTCTTCATAATAGTAATTTTACCATGTCTTTAATGATATCATAATGCCTGTGAAGGTCAGTTTTATATGTCCAGACCATTCAGACGACATCAGACCATTCTTCTGTTCTCCATAGCAACTCTGCTCTTGGCTACCTAAAATTTCCACTTAGAAATATCAGAGGAACCCAAAACATGCCTGCTATGTTTTGCAAGGATAAGACTTGTCTCTTAGCAGTTTCTGTACAGGAAGCGTAGTCCCCAGTATGGCACTGTTGAGGTGTGCATATAAGGGATGGGACCAAGTGGAGGTAATTAGGTCATAAAGATTCTACTCTATGATGGAGTAACCCTGTCTTTCAAGAATGGGCCGTCTGGTAGGAGTAGGTTAGTTGCTGCAAGAGTGAGTGTTGTGGTGAGCTCGGGCACCCCTTCCATTCTCTTCCTTTCCTGTGTGCATGTGTCACCCTCTGTGTGTAGCTGGTTCCTTTTTTATTTCTCTGCCATGTTAGGACAGTCAGGGAACCCTTGCTAGGATGCTGATTGCATGCAGTTTGGACCCTCCAATCATATGAATCAGGAGCCAAATAAGGCTCTCTCTTTTTGATAGCACCGAGCATCAACTATTTTGTTATAGTAATAAAAACAGACCAAGCCCATGCCTATTCAAGGAGACTCGGGACTTTTCACACCGCTACCAACTTGACCCTACTTGCTCCTCTTTCAGTGTGCTTTGTCTCTTTGAGGAATCACTGAAATTCCTGCATCGGAAACTGCGGGCCCAGTCTTGACCATTTCCTCTCTGCCACATCCACTTCATCAATTCTGTATTGCTACTACTTACATCTTTTCTGTAATCTCACTTCGTTTTCCACCTTTTGCGCTTCAACTTGCTCTCTTTCTGGCTTGCACAGGTAGAATGTCAGTCCATTCTAGCTTCCTTCTGGTTCTTCGCACAGCAGCCAGCGTGATCTCACTGTTAACAACTCACCATGTCTTTCCTGTGGGTGTATCTTGCTTCCCCTACCACCCTGTACACCACATTCTCCCGTACTCCGCGGTCAGCCCACTGGTCTGCTCTCAGTTCTTCTGCATATCAGTTCTCCTACTATTACTGGGCTTGCTCACATACTTTTTCTTTGAATAGACAATCTGTTCTTCCATCTTTTAAAAAAAACCTTGCTCTGCAGATAGATCATCTCAAAAGTCAGCTCCCCAGGGATACTTTACCAAGTCCCTATCTTGGTTCCCCAAGATACATTTCACACAGAAATTTATTCTTTTTCTTCAAAGCGCTTGATTCAGGTTTTCAAAAATATTTGTTTGTGATTTATTAGTTGAAAATTTATCTCCATCATACTGTAAACACCATAGTACTAGTCAACTGTTCACTGAGATGAATGCAGAGGTTCCAGTTTTTATGTAGAATTTTGCATTTATTCAGATCTTGATATACATTAAATAAAATAGTGACTCAGTAGCACAAGGTGACTATAACTGATGTCAGGTGCTATGGTCACTGGGCAAATTAGAATTTATTTTTCCATTCAGTGCCTGAAGCTCACTCTTATATTTATTGATCCATGGACAGCAAAAAAAAAATAGTCTCTTCCTGGGGTTTTGCATCCTTAAAAGTGTAGTGAATGTTGGCAGAGTGGACACTTCAGAGAAGGGCCGTGGTGGCAGAGGAGCTCCTGTCTTCTTGCTCACAGTCTTTTGTTTCTTAAATCAGTGCTTCTAAAGCTTTAGCAAGCATCAGGATTGAGTTGTCAAAACACAGATTTCTGTGGCCCACCCCAGAGTTTCTGATTTAGTAATGATAATTTACATTTCTAACAAGTTCCCAGATGCTCTTGGTGCTGCGGGTGTTGGAACACATTTAGAGGACCACTACTTTAAGTCATTCCAGCATGGAACTCAGTCCCAGACCTAGCTCCCATGCCATGGCTCTCTTGTCTTTGTGACTATAAGTCATGTGTTTGAAGGAGTGGACATTAGATGGGCAGAGTGTGATTCCACAGAGGGCTCTGAGTTACCAACATTACTCTATCCGATAGCTAACATGTTATTGGTAACTAATTGCATCTCTGGGTATTTTAAGAAATGCAGTGCATTAATTCAAGTGTCTAAATAAGAGGATATTTTTTGTTTTGAACTCAGGTGATCTTCCGTTTGGGCTGAACAGCAGATGGAGAGTACAGCAATGTCTTGTGGCAGAGGCAGGCCACCCACCGTGGGTCCCGGGAAGCAGATGAATGCCAGCTGCAGAGAAGGAAGCACAAGGGGAGCTGCAGAAGGAGCTCAGGTGGGTGCGGCCCTTTGTGGGTGATGTGGGATATCAGTCTAGTCTATTTCAAAAGGCTTGAAGGAAGACAGGTATGACATGACAGTATAGTATTGTACATAAAGCTTTAGCTGAAGAATGCTTTGAGAAATAGTCATGGCTCTTGTTCTGTTTTGCTAATTTACACCTCTGGCCTAAGATTCTTTCACTCATAGAAATGGAGTTAGTCGAGATAAAGGGTCAGTGAACTTTTTCCTCTACAGGGCCAGATAGTGAATGTTTTAGGATTTTTGGGTCATAGCATCTCTGACACAGGTATTGAACTCTGCCTTTATAGTGTGAAAACAGACCTAGATACTCTGTAAGTTAATGGTTGTGGCTATGTTCTCCTAAAATGTGTTTATCCAAACAGGTAGAGGAGAGACCATCCTAGATTGTGGATGATTAATGCTGGATTTTTCTGTCATATATTCCTGTCAATAACAACAAAACAATTCCACATGCATGTTTCAACAGCTGTAGATTGCTTTGTAAATAATAAAATCTTTAAGAATTTGATATATTATACACACTAGAAAACATACCCTTAAAACGAAAGTTTGAAAGGAATATGATAAAACCAATAAAAACAAATGATCCAATTTCCCCTGCATTCTAATGGTTCTTTTTCCGTATGCCTTGGAGACTTTTGGAGGCCATTCATCTGGACAGTGTCAAAGGTTCTTTGGTGTTCCCATTGCTATTGTCACATATGCCATGCCACCTATACCCAAGGACATACAGTTGCCAGGGGATTTTTGGCTAAATTAACTCGTGTTTACCTTGGATAGTCTGTGCCAACAGAGAAGAGGAGGTGCGGGCAATGAAAAGTACGAGCTGATGCGGTGTGGTACCCAGCCCAGAGGCTGGCCCTCCTCCCAGGCTGGCACGTGGGGAGACCCTGTGGAGGACGAGGCCGCTGGGAAACATCAGTTGTGGATAGTTGAATATTTATGTAAAGAAAAGTCCCCATAAATGTTTAGTTGTGAAAGGAGCTGTGGAAATCTGCCGTTCGTCCCTTTGTGTTTCAGATGAGATCTTTGTGTTCTGTGATAGCTAATCAGGGGAAAAGTTGGGCCTGGAACTGGAGACTTCAACATTTTCACCAAAGCCTTAGTTTTTCTTTGTGTCCTTTCATGCCTTCCATTTTAGAACAATCCCCTTTTCAAATCATTATGAGCTACAACGACAAGAATTGCCTGTCTCCATCTCCATGCGAACACTTAAGTAACCATTGTCACTAATACAGGAGCATTCCTGAGACTGGGGGAGAGATATGTTTTGTGATCTTATTTCCAGCCTCTTCAGCTTACCTTAAACTGTAGGTATATGGCCACCTGGAACCTAAAGAAAACACACCACTAACTTGGCAGAGAGCAGTGCACTCACTTACCGTATCCTGTGGTGAGTGTGGTGGAATGAACAAGGACTCCAGTGTCATCCACAAGAATGTGTGAAGATTCTTTTATGAATTCTCTTTGGGTAAAAAAGGGTGATACTACATGTGGGGCAGCCTTGCTAGCGCTTCTCCGAGGCTGGCCGTCTATCTGGCACGGTTTCATGAGACTAGAAAGTGAACGCTGAAGATCTATCTGCAGTGGACAGATCTGACCTGGCACTAAGCTGGGTCTCCGAAGGCGGCTCTGACGTGATTCCTCGTCCAGGGCTCAAAGAGGATTGTAAGTGTAACTAGGGTGGAGTTGAGAGACGAGGCAGGGCGTTTGGGCCGCTTGTGCTGGGATGAGCACAGCAAGCGGCCTTTGGTCACCCTGGGCCTTCGCTTGGGGCGGCCGGACGGCTGTGCTGTGCACGGCGGCTGTGCAGGCTGTGCTGAGCAGCCCGCCTGACTTCCGTGAGGAGGTCCGGTGTGGGCCGCACGCCTCCTGCTCCGAGCCGACTGGCATTTCTGCACGGGTCCATTTGCCAGTTGCTTCCTTTTTGAATGTACTTCTGGGCATTTCCCTTTCAGAGAAGCCTCGGGATGGAAGTTCCCTTCCTCTAAGTTACCATTTCCATGAAACATAGAAAATTTCTCGGTAGGTGGATGCCAGAAGTTTTGGGTTTTTTTGTTTTTCCCTTCCTTCTTTCACCTGAGAATAAGGACGAACATTCCCTCCCAACAAGGTACTGAACACAAAAATGCCGCCCGCACTGTCTGGTTCTGTGGTTGGTCTCTTTAGTTGGTGGTAACTTCTTGCAGTAAGGTCAGTAGTGACTAGCTGTTTAAAAGCAGCATACCTCTAGAAGAGGAGTTTAAAGCTTCCTTTCTCTTTTATATCTTCTGGAGATTTATTTCGCTCAGAGGCTCTTTTGTATGTTTTGATGGTTAGTTCTGCTTTGAGTACAAATTAGAGAGTGGTTCCCCGCTCTGGTTTCCATTTTCAATCAATCAATGAGAGTATATGCCAGAAATATTCAGTTTTTGAACTTCATCAAAGAAGTAGGGATTTTGGATGAATGTCAAAGTGGAAAAAACACCAGGCAAAATCAGAATATTCTCTGCAGTGTAAGTGTCTGATTTATCGAGTTCTATCTTTTCCTTTTGGAAGGCTAAAACTTTGCAGCAATTCTCAGCTTTTCACATCCCCTTCCTCTTTTTTCTTTAATGCCTGTGATAAAATTTCTTCTTGCTCTGATATTTGAATATAGATTTCTGCCTTAGGAAAATCATAGCTCACAAAATTGTCTCAGACAGGCATGAGATTTGGTACTCTGCAATTTTCCAAATGCAAAAGTCAAGGGAGAAAAATCATTGAAATGCTTCCAACGGAGCCCAGTGCCTTCTTAGAAGAGTGTGGCTTTGTGTGTTTGCCAGATCTGTACCTGATGCTAAGTGTAAGAGGTAAACATCATTCCATAGCCAAACTGAGAAGTTTTCTGGGAGTGGAGGATGGGAGGATTTGGGGGAAGTGCTCGACAAAATGCTGACGGCATTTTCCAGGATGGAAAGTAAATAGGGGTTTTGTGTTGGTCTCTGAGTACAGAACTGGTAAAAGCTCCAAACAGAAAAACAAAAATCTTCCAGATGTATGTTCTAGCAAAAGACGTCGTGTTATCTACCTCTGTCCAAAAAAGAAAAACACAAAAATCCATTGAGGGTAAACAGCACCTTCTGTAATGCTTCCAATGCTTCACTGCACACCTTCACAGGTCGACTGACATTGTTTCCATTGTCAGGGGATGACTTAAGACCCACAGATAATCAGGTGAATTGTCTGTTTCTGAATGGAAGCCTTCCTGCTCATGAATGTTGCTCAAAAGCTAATCACAGTTGATGTATGGGGACCACATTCCTTCTAAATGCACCTTTCATTCTAAGGATGTTTGTGCCTTTGGTTGAAGAACAATGCCACGTCCCACCCCCGCTCTTAGGTTATTCCCTGTGACTGGAAGAAACCCTTAGATTCTTCAAATCTTCAGCTAGACTGAAGAAGACTTGTCGACTTCTTGTGCATGAATGAAATTTTGTCATATTTATTCAAGGACCTCATTGACATCTCTCAAAACAAATGCAGTTTGGACATCTAATTCTTATACTCACCATTGAGAAGGATTAAGGATATAGTTAAATGATGAACGTCCTCATTCATCTTTTCTCTCTTAGGATTATCATTGATCTGATGGGATTCCATTCTGTTTGGGAAGAAATCACTTGTATTCTGTGATTTCTTCAGCTTTTGTACCAATTCTACTAGTGGATGTCTTGCAAATGTCTCTGGGTCCTTTTAAATTCTCACTCCTCTACAGTAGTTTGGGAGGAGCCACACTTACGACCCGATGCTATAATTCTTGCTGCAAGCCATCACATTTTAAAAGCCTATGTTCCATTTCCTCCGTTAAACACCGGCTGCTGCAACGTCAGGGCCAAAATTCTTCATCATTTTCTGCTCTTACTGCTTCCACCTGTACCTCAGCAAAGAGAACAGGTCCCTGCTAATAACTTATATTTCTAAGACCCTTCCCTGTTAGAAAGTGCTTTCACAAGCATCCTCCTACCCAATTATATGAGTTGAACTAAAATCAACTGAAGTAACTGAGTCGGACACAATCTCAGTAGGGATTAGAAGCTCAGGCAGAGGACAAGTAGCATTAGATGGGGCTCAGGAAGCCCACAGATGTTGCAGAGTGGCAGACTGCTACCCACAGCTATTTTCTGAATATGCAGGTTTTACTGGGTGGTTTGATCCTGCTCCCCTAAGTGAATATACTCTCAGAACCACAAAAAGAACTCATATTAACTCTCTAGCTTCCATAAAGCTAGAGAGATGGGTTGTGGATAATGTGAGGTTCATTTTTATTTTCCTGATAAGAATAAAGCTAATCAGAACAGAACAATCCTATTGATACAGGACGTCAAAACCAGATAGTAGGAAATTAACAATGGATACCATAATATATCCCTTTATCTTTAAAATAGCTGCTCATACGTCAGACACAGTAAAATGAAACAGGACAAGACAGAATAAGACCAAATGTAACAAACTATGAAAACAATACAGAAATTCAAAGCAAGGTAATAGGAAATTAACAATGGTTGCCATCTTCCTTTTTTAGACATTTCTGCCTCTATCACTTTTATAGTATCTGTTGTACATTTTGGATCCCACTAACTCCTTCAGATTTTTATGCTAGGAGATAACATAATGTTCACCCATATAAGTCTGAACTATATGTCCCACCCATCACTATGATCTCAAGTAACATCCATCTACCTACAAGAGCCTCAAGATTATCTTTCTTTATAGCTGAGTAGCTTTCCATTGTGTGAAAATACTGTATCTTTCTTATCCATTCTGTGGTTGATGGGCAAATTACCCCCACATATTCTCTCCTTTAACTTTCAGCCTATGGATTTCCTTTTGAGTTAAATGTATTTGTTGTATATAGCATATCAATGGATCTTGTTTTTTGATCCACTCTGCCTGTGTTTCTTTTTATGAGTGAATTGAGGCCATCTACATTGGTGATTACAACTGGCACGC